TTCTGCATTCTTCTCCCCTTGGAAGAGCACCTCCACACACCCACAAAGACCGCACTGTCACAGTGAAGGACTGGAGGGATGTTAGATGCTGTTGGCACCTTTGATGTCACACTTCATCACCCGCCTGTACCAATTGAAGAGACCTCACAGCTCCAGCAGGTATAGGGGTTGAATTGAGGGCGGGGCGTGCTCCTTGAAGAGGTGAGGTGGGATGGGGTGAATACCTTTGTCAGTGTACTATTCCATGCATCCATACTGCTGGAAGAGACCTCACACAGCTCCTTACTGTGGCAGAAGAATATGGATTAAGGCAGTATCTGCCCCAGGAAGTTTAAAGTGGATGTTTACCCACTTGCTGGTGGAAGAAAGTAAATGCTCCGTGAAAGGGGGGTTGGGAGCAGTCAGTACCTTTGTTGATGTTGCACTCCGCCACAGTAACTGGAACAACCCCTTCATCTCTCCATTGGTGTGTGTATGGGGGGCAGGGGGTTATGGAGAGTATCTGCCCCATGGGGAGTGAGGACTGATGCAGTCAGCACCTTTTAGGTCACATTGCATTATGGACTTATACTGCCAAAAGAACTCCAGTAACTCCCTACTGGTGCAAAGACAGGGAATTTGGGGGGCATTATTTGCTTCATGAAGGATTAGAAGGGGTCTCTGCCCCCAGATAGGGGGCAATTTCTATACCTCAGGCCCGTGTTGCTGAAAAAGCCTCTGCCACTCCCCACTAGTGCAGGACAGAGAGATTGGGGGCAATACCTGCTCCACGGGAAGACTGGTACTTTTGATGTTACATGCTTTGCTGTTGGCTTGCTTTGCCAAAGAGGCCCCACAGTCCCCCACTGGTGCAGGGAGGAGTTGGGGTAGTATATGTCCCAAGAAAAATGTGGGGCAATTGGTACCTATGGTAACATCTGACTTCACAGATGCATACTGGTGGATTGATATTGGTGGGGGGGCTTCACCTCATGAGGATGTTGGTACCTTGGACTACATGGCACCCCACTACAAGCCCATATTGCTGGGAAGAAAGGGAAAGACGGAGGGAGGAGGAGGTGTCTGCCCGTAATCAAGTGGTCAGTATCTTTAACCATGTGGCACTCCACCACAGGCTGGAATTGCTAGGGTGAAGGAAGATATTAGACTTAGTCGTGTGGTGTGGGCCCTGCTCCGCTGAGAGGATTGGTATCTTCGACTGTTACACTCGGACATTCTATACCTTGGGGGAGCATCCTGTAACCCCCATATTCCTCATTTTTATATAACCGTGATCTTACATATAAAGCATGCCTTAAAAGGTATCTGGGGAAAAGTTATCATCTGCTGAAAGTCATTTCTCTATCCATATATGTATCTCATTAATGTATATGAAGTTATGAGAATTGTGTTGTATGGTTGTCACTAAAACATGCTGTCAGTTGGGGAATCGGTCAGATATTAGCTCCCCAGAGGCAACAGCAAGGAAAGTAACCAAACGTCCCATCTACAACCATTGTCCAGCAAGGGAGCTACAATTCAATGACTCACCTGCATGAGGCCATACCAGGGGAATTGCTCAATCTTGGCTGGAGACTTAGCAGTGCCCCCAGACATGCCTGGACTTGAGATCCCCAAGCACATGGGACTGAGGGAATAAAACAGAACACAGTGGCCCCATGCTGGGCCTTTCTCCTTCACCCACCTACACTGCAAGCAACAAGGACACTCTGAAGACTCCAACTGAGGGGACTGCCCCAGATTTCAAGTGTGAAATCTGTATACTATGAACTGCAATATCCAGTGCAGTGAAGAAAACTGCTTAATCTAGATGTTGCCCAGTCTAATAGGGTTGAGAGTTTAGACTGCGTGCTTATATTTTATGTACTTTTGGTAACTATCTCTGACTTTTTGCCTAACACTCATAGTCACTTAAAATCTTCTGTTGTCAATACATTTGTTTTACTGTTTATCTTTACCAGTGAGTTTGTATGAAGTGTGTGGCAAATCTGCTCATGTTTTGCAAAGGCTGGTGTATATCCACTTTCCATTGATGAAGTGGTGAACCAATTAATAAATCATCTTGATCAGTGCCTGGGGTGCAAGGCTAGGAGCTGGGGGGGGATTGGGCTGGTGCCTTTCCCTGTGTGATTCATGAGTGGCTCTGGGAGCATTCATGCAATCTAGGAGGGTGTGGGGCTCCACATGCAGTTGTGCTGAATGATAACAGTGCTTGGAGGGGTTTACTGCGGGTCACTAGCAAGGTATTGTGAAAGACAGCCCAGGCTGGAGAGTTCAGGGGGCACAGCGGTCCCACAGTCCCAGGCTGCACCCCAGAGATCCCATCACACACTCCATCATGATTAGGGCTCCGTGTTTGTCACACACAGAAGTGGCGGAAGTCACGGATTCCGTGACTTCCTGCAACCTCTGCAGCACCCAGCCGCTCGGGCAGCGGTCCCAGGGCACCTGGAGCAGCTGCTGGCCCCCAGGGCTCCCCATCACCAGTAGTGCCCCTCCCCCGCAGCTGGTGCCACGGGCTTTCCAAGATTCAATTGGGGTATTAATGGTATAAGTCACGGGCAGGCCATGGGCCATGATTTTTTTGTTTCTGTCCATGACTTTTACTAAAAATACCCATGATTAAATCGTAGCCTTAATCATGACTCATGGGCCCATACTGCTGGGGAGAGGGGATTCTAGCCCCAGGGAGAGGTTGGTTGAAGGGATTCCTACCCCATGGGGGAGAAGAGAGTTGGTATCTTTGCCCACATCACATTCTATCTCAGGCCTGTACTGAGGGGGGGGAGTGCCGGGGAACCACCGGCCGCATCACACTCCACCATGGGTCTGTGGGGGAGGAGGGGAAAAATGAGCCCAGGGTTGGTACCTTTCACCATGCTGCACTCCACCATGGGTTAGTACCAGAGTTTGGAGGGGGGGCTGGGGAACCCAGCAGAGGGAACCTTTCACCACAGGTCGGTACCAGGTGGTCATGGAACCCAGAGGTCAGTATCTTTCACCACATTGCACTCCACCATGAGCCAGTACTGTGAGTGGAGAGTCTCTATCCTGGGGGTGGGAGTGGGGGGGCGGGTGGGAGGGGAGATCTCAGGGGTTGGTTCCTTTTACCACGTTGCACTCCACCTCAGGCTAGTACCAGGGGTGGGGGACTTGAGGATCCTGGAGGTCACTACCTTTGTCTACGTTGTACTCCACCACAGGCCGATACCAGGGGTGGGTCAGAGAACCCAGGGGTCAGTACCTTTCACCATGTCACACTCCATCATGGGCTGGCAGCAGGGGTGTAAAGTCCCTGTCCCAGGGAGAGCGATATCCCAGGGATCGGTCTCTGACCACGTCGCACTCCACTACCAGCCGGTACCAAGGGTGGGAGGGGTCCATGTCGCACTCCACCATGGGCAGGGAACCACGTTACACTCCACCATGAGCTGGTATCAGGAAGAGGGGGAGGGGGTCCCTGTCCCGAGGTTGATACCTTTCACGACACCACACTCCACCACGGGCCGGTACCGGGGAAGGGGGATGCGGAACCCGGTGGGTCGGTACCTTTCCCACGTCGCACTCCACCACGGGCCGGTACCGGGGGGGGGGGGGGGAGCGGGAGGAGGAGGCGGTCGGGGA